TTTTTTGCTTTCCATTTGCTTGGTAAATATTCCTCCATCCCTTTATTTTGAGCCTATGTGTGTCTTTGCACATGAGATGGGTCTCCTGAATACAGCACACCTATGGGTCTTGACTCTTATCTGATTTGCCAGTTGTGTCTTTTAATTGGGGCATTTACCCTATTTACAGTAAAGGTTAATATTGTTATGTGTGAATTTGATCCTGTCATTATGATGCTAGCTGGTTATTTTACCTGTTAGTTGATGCAGTTTCTTCCTAGCGTTGATGGTCTTTACAATTGGCATGTTTTTGCAGTGGCTGGTACCAGTTTTTCCTTTCCATATTTAGTCCTTCCTTCAGGAGCTCTTTTAAGGCAGGCCTGGTGGTGACAAAATCTCTCAGCATTTGCTTGTCTGTAAAGAATTTTATTTCTCCTTCGCTTATGAAGCTTAGTTTGGCTGGATATGAAATTCTGGGTTGAAAATTCTTTTCTTTAAGAATGTTGAATATTGGTCCCCACTCTCTTCTGACTTGTAGGGTTTCTGCAGAGAGATCTGCTGTTAGTCTGATGAGCTTCCCTTTGTGGGTAACCCGACCTTTCTCTCTGGCTGCCCTTAACATTTTTTTTCTTCATTTCAAACTTGGTGAATATGACGATTATGTGTCTTGGTGTTGCTCTTCTTGAGGAGTATCTTCGTAGTGTTCTCTGTATTTCCTGAATTTGAATATTGGCCTACCTTGCTAGGTTTGGGAATTTCTCCTGGGTAATATCCTGAAGAGGGTTTTCCAACTTGGTTCCATTCTCTCTATCACTTTCAGGTACACCAATCATGTAGGTTTGGTCTTTTCACATAGTTCCATATTTCTTGGAGGCCAAGTTTGTTCCTTTTCATTCTTTTTTCTCTAACCTTGTCTTCACATTTTATTTCATTATGTTGATCTTCAATCTCTGATATCCTTTCTTCCACTTCATTGATTTTGCTATTGATAGTTGTGTATGTTTCACGAAGTTCTTGTGCTGTGTTTTTCAGCTCCATCAGGTCATTTATGTTCTTCTCTAAACTGGTTATTCTAGTTAGCAATTCGTCCAACCTTTTTTCAACGTTCTTAGCTTCCTTGCATTGTGTTAGAACATGCTCCTTTAGTTCAGAGGAGTTTGTTATTACCCACCTTCTGAAGCCTACTTCTGTCAATTTGTCAAACTCATTCTCTGTCCAGTTTTCTTCCCTTGCTGGCGAGGAGTTGTAATCCTTTGGAGGAGAAGAGGCATTCTGGTTTTTGGAGTTTTCAGCCTTTTTGCACTGGGCTTTCCTCGTCTTTATGGATTTATCTACCTTTGGTCTTTGATGTTGGTGATCTTTGGATGGGGTTTTCATGTGGATATCCTTTTTGTTGATGTTGATGCTATTCCTTTCTCTGTGTTAGTTTTCCTTCTAACAGTCAGGCCCCTCTGCTTCAGGTCTGCTGGAGTTTGCTGGAGGTCAACTCCAGATCTTGTTTGCTTGGGTATCACTAGCAGAGGCTGCAAAACAGTAAAGATTGCTTCCTGTTCCTTCCTCTGGAAGCTTTGTCCCAGAGGGGCACCCGCCAGAGCTCTCCTGTGTGAGGTATCTCTCGACCCCTGCTGGGAGGTGTCTCCCAGTCAGGAGGCACGGGGGTTAGGGACCCACTTGAGGAGACAGTCTGTCCCTTAGAGCTCAAGCACTGTGCTGGGAAATCTGCTGCTCTCTTCAGAGCTGGCAGGCAGGGACATTTAAGTCTGCTGAAGCTGTGCCTGCAGCCACCCTTTCCCCCAGGTGCTCTGTCCCAGGGTGATGGGACTTTTATTTATAAGCCCCTGACTGGGGCTGCTGCCTTTCTTTCATATATGCCCTGCCCAGAGAGGAGTAATCTAGAGAGGCAGTCTGGCTTTGCCAAACTGTGGTGGGCTCTGCCCAGTTCCAAATTCCTGGCTGTGAGTGGAAAACTGCCTACTCAAGCTTCCGTAATGGTGGACGCCCCTCCCCACACCAAGCTCAAGCATCCCAGGTCGACTTCAGACTGCTGTGCTAGCAGTGAGAATTTCAAGCCAGTGGATCTTAGCTTGCTGAGCTTTGTTGGGGTGAGATCCACTGAGCTAGACCACTTGGCTCCCTGGCTTTAGCCCCATTTCCAGGGGAGTGAATGGTTCTCTCTCACTGGCAGTCCAGTATGAAGAAAAACTCCTGCAGCTAGCTCAGTGTCTTCCCAAATGGCTGCTCAGTTTTGTGCTTCAAACCCAGGGCCCTGGTGGTATAGGCATTCCAGGGAATCTCCTGGTCTCCTGGTTGTGAAGACCCTGGGAAAAGTGTGGTATTTGGGCCATATTGCACTGTTCCTTATGGCACAGTCCCTCACGGTTTCCCTTGGCTAGGGGAGGGAGTTCCCTGACCCCTTAGTACTTCCCAGGTAAGGTGATGCTTCACCCTGCCTTGGCTTACTCTTTGTGGGCTGCACCACTGTGGTCTAACCAGTCCCAGTGAGATGAGTAGAGTACCTCAGTTAGAAATACAGGAATCACCTGCCTTCTGTGTCGATCTCGCTGGGAGCTGCAGACTGGAGCTGTTCCCATTTGGCTGTCTTGCCAGCCACCCGTATATTTAATTATAATTATTGATCTGATGGTTTTTAGATCTGTCATTTTGATATTTGTTATCTATTTGTTCAATTACTCATCCTTTTCTGCTTTCTAATCAAGTGTTTAAAAAACAGTCCTTTTTATTTTCTTGTATACTTTTTAGGTATGCCTCTGCATGCTTTTTTAAAAGCATTGCTCTGATTATAATATTTATACTGAATGTGTGGAATATCACCTTTGAAGAATTTTTTTTTTCCTTTTGCTGGATATAGAATATGAGGCTGATAGGTATTTTTCCCCTGCAGCATTTTAAAGGTGATGTTCAATTGTTTTACAACGTGCATTGTTTCTATTCAGAGGTCGGCTATTATTCTTATCATTGTTCTTGTGTATATAATAAGTTTTTTTCCTCTTGCTTCTTTAAAATTTTCCTGGCTTTGGTTTTTAGAAGTTTATGACATGTGTGATTTTCTTTGAATTTACCTAACCTGGGTTTTGCTGAGCTTCTTGGATCTTTATGTTCATGTTTTGTACCAGATTTGGGAAATTCTCAGCCACTCTTTCTTCAAAGGTCTTTATTCTTTTTCTTTTCCTACTTTATCTTTTTTCTCTTCTCCTTCTGAAAATCAAATTTTACATATGTTCTAACACGTGCTGTTATATCATGTTACTAAACTTCTGTTTACTGAAAATTTTTTTCCTTTGTTCAGTTTAAATCATTTCTGTTGATCCATCTTGAGGCATCAGTACTTCTGCAGTGTTCATTCCACTGTCAAGCCCATTCGGGGAATTTAGGTTGTGTTTGTTTGTCGTTTTTTTTTTTAATTTTTTTGTGGTGTGTTTGTTTCATTTCTTTTTTTTTAATTATACTTTTAAGTTCTAGGGTACATGTGCACAACGTGCAGGTTTGTTACATATGTATACATGTGCCATGTTGGTGTGCTGCACCTGTTAACTCATCCTTTACATTAGGTATATCTCCTAATGCTATCTCTTCACCCCATGACAGGCCCCAGTATGTGATGTTCCCCACCCTGTGTCCAAGTGTTCTCATTGTTCGATTCCCACCTATGAGTGAGAACATGCGGTGTCTGGTTTTCTGTCCTTGTGATAGTTTGCTCAGAATGATGGTTTCCAGCTTCA